GTGAACAATAACTGAGAGAATCTGTTGCCAGCAGAACTGCACCACTGCAGTTTCTAAAGGATTTGCCTTAGTCTGAAGGAAAAATGATACTGGATGGCAACTAGGACCTATACCAAAAAAAATTTTTAAGGTAAATATCCAAGTAAATATATGTGAGTACAGATTTTTCCTTTCTTCTTAAAATACCTTTAAAAGATATAACTACCAAATTAAAAATCATGAATCAGTACTGATAGGTTTATAACATAAACAGATCCAAATATACAACAACAGCTTCATGTAAATACAATGAGGGGTAAATAAAAACAAACTTTTGGGGAGTTTCTAAATGTTCCCTGAAGTAATTCAGTATTAAATGTAAGTAATCTGAGATAAGTTTAAGATTCCTATGTGATCCCTAGAGCAATAATTTAAAAAGAAAAAATATAGAAATTGAAAGCCAAAAGAGAAATTAAAGTTGAATTCTAAATAATGTCTGATTAAAGCAAAAGAAGATAGGAAAGTAGAACAAAGATGCAAAACAGAGAAGACACAAAACAGGCTGCAAATGGGAAGACCAAGTATGACCATATCAATAAAATGGACTAACACACCAATCCAGACACAGATTTTTAAAACTAGATTTAAAATCCAAGACTTAATTGTATGCTGTCAACAAAATATACTTTTTAAATATAAAGACATAAACAGACTAGAAGTAAAAAGCTACAAAGCATATAGTTAGCATATAGTTAGCATAACAAAGATTAAGTGATTATTTAAATATAAAACAAAACAGTCTTTTTAACAAGAAATATTACTGGAGACAACCAGGACAACTGGGATAATGGGCAATACATCAGGTATATATACCAATTATAAATATAGATCTGACTAATGAAAAAGCTCCAAACATAAAGGAAAAACGGGCAGAACTCAAAGGAGAAAGAGATGAAATGACAATCACAGAGACTTTAACAGACTTCTCTCAGAAACTGATAGAACTACACAAAAATACCAGGAAGAATGTAGAAAATCTGAATGACACTATCAATCACCTTAACCCACCTGACATTTCTACAACACTAAACCCAGTACACAGTATGGGTACTTGAAGAATACATTTTATTTCTTTAATATTCTACAAGTTGATATTTTTTAAAGTAACTATCAGATTGTTGGTTAACAGTCATTTGTCACTTAATAGTCCCTGGATGAAAACATGAACTTTCCATCAAATTCACTGAATTTCTTGGAAATGAAGAGGACGCAGAAATGCAAGCACCTAGCCTTATCTGCCTCAGCTCTACATCTTAAGACATCCTTCCATTCCAAGGTTCTGGCACAACCAGCCTTTGCTTTTATCCTCAGAAAACAAAGCCCAAGGAATCACTGTGACCAGAAGCAACAGCAGGACCAGGCAGGACGGAGCTCTTTCTGCCCCATAACTACGGTTCTCACACATCAAGCTGAGATCTGGTGAAAGCTGTTGCTACTACTGGTAGGATGTCTATGGCACAAATGATTTTGTTACAGATTTTAGACACTTAGTAGAAAATGACAATAAATACGAGCCTCCCAGGAAAGAGGAATGACAAAGCATTTCTCTTCCATTTTAATTACTGTCCAAATCCCTGGGTTCTATCTATGAATGTCTAAAGAACACGGCCACTCAAAATAGTGAAACGGTGCATCAAAATCAAGGAGCAAATGGCTACCTTGACCAAAAAAAAATGAAAGACACAGCTGCTTACGTCTCAGTGACTGCCCTGGACAAACAATGAAGTGAAGGAGTTGCTGGAATGAAAAGCTGGTCATTCACATGAGCAAAAAAAAAAAGTGAGAAATGCAGATTCACTCCCTCCTGCACAGGCGAGACATCTATCCAATGTGAACACAGCTCAAAACCACAATTAGCCTTTTTATCCCTTGAAAAAACCACAAAACTCAGAGAACAGCATATCCATGGCGATTTACTGGGAAATTTAATTTTTGCTAAAATTTAGAACTTTACAGGAATGAAAGGACAGGGCTGGCACCAATTGGGTCAGAGATGTTGACAGCCTTTAAAATAGAGAAACTAGGAAAGAAAGCAACATTTGGAAAGAGTCCAATCCCTTAGGCAAAATGGTACTTGTCCTGCACCCGCTTCCGTCACAGCCCCTAAAAATAGGTCCCAATGTCTCACCCTAACCGTGTTATCATGGCCGACCTTCCACTATTCTGAGGTAACGTCTATAAATCTTGGCATCCCGTGTGCTTTTGCACCACATGTCAACTATTAACAATGGTATTTTTCCTGACAGCTAATTGGTAACATTAAAGAAAAGCTCTGCGCTTGCAAAGTCATTTAATGCTGTTAATGGCAACAAGTATTTTATGAGGGACATTGGCACAGCATGGAAATCAAAGGGCCATGTTTTTCACCGTTTGCCAGGAAAGTGAGAAATGTAGTGAAAGTGAAACCCATACCTTGGGTTTATGGACATGACAGCTGACTTAGTGATAACTTCCGATGCCAGAAGATGCTTTCCAAGTAAATATATGTGAGTACAGATTTTTCCTTTCTTCTTAAAATACCTTTAAAAGATATAACTACCAAATTAAAAATCATGAATCAGTACTGATAGGTTTATAACATAAACAGATCCAAATATACAACAACAGCTTCATGTAAATACAATGAGGGGTAAATAAAAACAAACTTTTGGGGAGTTTCTAAATGTTCCCTGAAGTAATTCAGTATTAAATGTAAGTAATCTGAGATAAGTTTAAGATTCCTATGTAATCCCTAGAGCAATAATTTAAAAAAATATATATAGAAATTGAAAGCCAAAAGAGAAATTAAAGTTGAATTCTAAATAATGTCTTATTAAAGCAAAAGAAGATAGGAAAGTAGAACAAAGATGCAAAACAGAGAAGACACAAAACAGGCTGCAAATGGGAAGAACAAGTATGACCATATCAATAATCAAATGTAAATGGACTAACACACCAATCCAGACACAGATTTTTAAAACTAGATTTAAAATCCAAGACTTAATTGTATGCTGTCAACAAAATATACTTTTTAAATATAAAGACATAAACAGACTAGAAGTAAAAAGCTACAAAGCATATAGTTAGCATATAGTTAGCATAACAAAGATTAAGTGATTATTTAAATATAAAACAAAACAGTCTTTTTAACAAGAAATATTACTGGAGACAACCAGGACAACTGGGATAATGGGCAATACATCAGGTATATATACCAATTATAAATATAGATCTGACTAATGAAAAAGCTCCAAACATAAAGGAAAAACGGGCAGAACTCAAAGGAGAAAGAGATGAAATGACAATCACAGAGACTTTAACAGACTTCTCTCAGAAACTGATAGAACTACACAAAAATACCAGGAAGAATGTAGAAAATCTGAATGACACTATCAATCACCTTAACCCACCTGACATTTCTACAACTCTAAACCCAGTACACAGTATGGGTACTTGAAGAATACATTTTATTTCTTTAATATTCTACAAGTTGATATTTTTTAAAGTAACTATCAGATTGTTGGTTAACAGTCATTTGTCACTTAATAGTCCCTGGATGAAAACATGAACTTTCCATCAAATTCACTGAATTTCTTGGAAATGAAGAGGACGCAGAAATGCAAGCACCTAGCCTTATCTGCCTCAGCTCTACATCTTAAGACATCCTTCCATTCCAAGGTTCTGGCACAATCAGCCTTTGCTTTTATCCTCAGAAAACAAAGCCCAAGGAATCACTGTGACCAGAAGCAACAGCAGGACCAGGCAGGACGGAGCTCTTTCTGCCCCATAACTACGGTTCTCACACATCAAGCTGAGATCTGGTGAAAGCTGTTGCTACTACTGGTAGGATGTCTATGGCACAAATGATTTTGTTACAGATTTTAGACACTTAGTAGAAAATGACAATAAATACGAGCCTCCCAGGAAAGAGGAATGACGAAGCATTTCTCTTCCATTTTAATTACTGTCCAAATCCCTGGGTTCTATCTATGAATGTCTAAAGAACACGGCCACTCAAAATAGTGAAACGGTGCATCAAAATCAAGGAGCAAATGGCTACCTTGACCAAAAAAAATGAAAGACACAGCTGCTTACGTCTCAGTGACTGCCCTGGACAAACAATGAAGTGAAGGAGTTGCTGGAATGAAAAGCTGGTCATTCACATGAGCAAAAAAAAAAAGTGAGAAATGCAGATTCACTCCCTCCTGCACAGGCGAGACATCTATCCAATGTGAACACAGCTCAAAACCACAATTAGCCTTTTTATCCCTTGAAAAAACCACAAAACTCAGAGAACAGCATATCCATGGCGATTTACTGGGAAATTTAATTTTTGCTAAAATTTAGAACTTTACAGGAATGAAAGGACAGGGCTGGCACCAATTGGGTCAGAGATGTTGACAGCCTTTAAAATAGAGAAACTAGGAAAGAAAGCAACATTTGGAAAGAGTCCAATCCCTTAGGCAAAATGGTACTTGTCCTGCACCCACTTCCGTCACAGCCCCTAAAAATAGGTCCCAATGTCTCACCCTAACCGTGTTATCATGGCCGACCTTCCACTATTCTGAGGTAACGTCTATAAATCTTGGCATCCCGTGTGCTTTTGCACCACATGTCAACTATTAACAATGGTATTTTTCCTGACAGCTAATTGGTCACATTAAAGAAAAGCTCTGCGCTTGCAAAGTCATTTAATGCTGTTAATGGCAACAAGTATTTTATGAGGGACATTGGCACAGCATGGAAATCAAAGGGCCATGTTTTTCACCGTTTGCCAGGAAAGTGAGAAATGTAGTGAAAGTGAAACCCATACCTTGGGTTTATGGACATGACAGCTGACTTAGTGATAACTTCCGATGCCAGAAGATGCTTTCCAAGTAACTGTGCTCATGCTGAGGGAGTCCTCTGAGGCAGGCATACCTCTAACGAGCCTCCCCTGAGACTGAAACGGAGGGTGGCCTGCACTGCTGTGCACCCCTTACCTTTGGGTTTGACTGTGTAAAATCCAACCGCTGCTCCGCCTCGCCACAGAATTTTCGCATGCTCCTTCACAGAGTGAGGTAAAAAAAACATGCCATCATCATCCAAATTTCTCTCCAGTCTTCCAAAAACAACGACATTGAGAATGAAAAGCACAATCCTTTCCCCAAATGACTGAACCTTTGAAGGAAAGCAAGAACAACCCAGTGAGGCGAGAGGCAAAAATCACACACGATAAATTTTGCACTTAGAATCAACCCACATGTCGGGGCCAGGTGTGCACTTCACCGCTGTCCAATTCTTTTCATGCTTAAGGGCCAAAATGCGAACCACTGTCACTCACTGTGGTTTCCACACCCTGACCTTGGGCATCAGTCAGCCTTCGGGAGTGAAAGACAATGACAGCAGAGCCTCTTGGGTCCCCAGGGCCACGGACGTGGATGGAGGTAGATGGAGAACAATCCATCCCATACCAACACCACAGAACAGTGTCTCCAGGGGGCCAGGCAAGTCATCTCAGCAGATTCACGGGACATGTCCAGAAATAAACCCAATCTGCTGTGTTACACAAGAGCCTGAGTGTTAGCCCTCAGACGGAGTGGGGAGGTTAATAATTGAGGCAATCAGCTGCTCCACCAAAAGCAACTGATTTTCAATGGCTTGTGACAGACTCTGAGCACATACGACAGTCCCAATCCCAGACAATTACTGGGACTCAAGGCCCGCCTCGTTCTGAGGCTATACAATGGAGCCTCTGACCTGCAGCAATGTCCTGAGAAGTGAGGGAATCCTGTTGCAGTCAAAGCCAGGCCCACACAGAGCTTTGTCATTAACAAATCAAAATGATTTCATGCCACTGCCTGTTAAAATCTGTACAGCCCCCCTGAGGGCAACTATGTGGCGTAAATGGAGGCCTCCCACACCTGCACCCACAGCAGACACAGCCTGTCGACCCCTACTCCGTTCGGCTAAACCTGGATGTGGTCTCAGAATCCACCTCAGTGCAGTTCTCCAGACAACTAACCAACCACTAAAATGTGGTACTTGAAACAAACAAGTCAATAACAAAATGACAGTATTGTTTCATTAGATTTCTCTGACAGCACCACTATGTGACAGCCCGAGTGTGCGGGTATTTGTCACCCCACCCTGTGCATCACTATAAGAGCAGCAGTACCACCAGCTGGGCTGTGACTTCCACCCACACACCACCATTCGGTTCTTACCACCCCCTAGGGAGGTCTTGGTTTATAGGTGAGAAAACTGGAGCTCAAAGAGGGTAGGTGGCTCCATTCATTGATTTCCCTTCCCGGTTCCACAGAGGACTTAAGACAGCTGGACCAGGGCTCTGTCAGGGGCAGACAGGCTCAAATGACTGGCCAGGGCTTCTGAGCCCCAGGTCCATGCACCTGCGGGAGCCCAGCCTCTTGTTCCCTTCTGCTGCTTCATCCACTCAAATGGAGACTTTGGGCAAAGGGAATTTTTGTTTTTGTTCTGGTTTTTTAAATTAAGGTATCACTGATATACAATCTTAGGAAGGTTTCACAGGAGCAGCATTGAGGTTTCAACATTCACCCATAATATCAAGTCCCCCCCAACCCCATTGCAGTCACTGTCCATCAGCATAGTAAGATGCTATAGAGTCGTTACTTGTCTTTCCGTGCTGTACTGCCTTCCCTGTGACCTACCTATATTGTGTGTGCTAATTATAATGCCCCTTAATCCCCTTCTCTGTCCCTCCCCACCCTCCCTCCCCAACCTCTCCCCTCTGGTAACTGCTAGTCCCTTCTTGGAGTCTGTCAGTTTTATTTTGTTGTTATACTGCACAAATGAGTGAAGTCATTTGATACTTGTCTTTCTCCGCCTGGCTTATTTCACTGAGCATAATACCCTCTAGCTCCATTCATGTTGTTGCAAATGGTAGGATTTGTTTTCTTCTTATGGCTGAATAATATTTCACTGTGTATATGTACCACCTCTACTTTATCTACTGATGGACACTTAGGTTGCTTCCATATCTTGGCTACTGTAAACAGTGCTGCGATAAACATAGGGGCGCCTATGTCTTTTTGAATCAGGGATCTTGTTTTCTTCGGATAAATTCCTAGGAGTGGAATTCCTAGGTCAAATGGTATTTCTGTTTTTATTTTTTTGAGGAACCTCCATATTGCTTTCTACAATGGTTGAACTAATTTACATTCCCACCAACAGTGTAAGGGGGGCTCCCCTTTCTCCACATCCTCACCAGCATTTGCTGTTTCTTGTCTTTTGGATGTTGGCCATTTGAACTGGTCTGAGGTGGTATCTCATTGTGGTTTTAATTTGCATTTCCCTGATAATTAGCGATGTGGAGCATCTTTTCATGTACCTGTTGGTCTCCTGAATTTGTTCTTTGGAGAAGTGTCTGCTCAGATCCTCCACCCATTTTTTAATCGAGTTATTTGTTTTTTGGGTGTTGAGGCATGTGAGCTTTTTACTTATTTTGGATGTTAACCCCTTATCGAATAAGTTGTTCACAAATATATTCTCCCATATTGTAGGATATCTTTTTGTTCTGCTGATGGTGCCCTTTGCTGTATAGCAGCTTTTTAGTTTGATGTAGTCCCATTTGTTCATTTTTGCTTTTGTTTCCCTTGTGGGCAAGGGAAGTTTAATATTAATGCTTGGTTTTGTATTTAATACCTGACCCTTAAATTTTTATTATTTACCAATATTATCATCATCACCATCATCATTCATGACTGTGGCTTCCAGGCCTAGATTTGCTGGAAGATTCACAACCTCTCTGAACCTTACTCTCCTTCCTAGTCAAGGGAGAAGACCACCTACGTGGCGTCTAAAACACTTGCATGTTTTTCAAATGCTCTGATAATAAAAATAAGGCAGCTTGCAGCACCCTCGCACACGGCACAAAATGTTCAGTGCCAGTAAACTTATTAATTGGCCCAGAACAAAAAAATATTTCACCTTCATCTGGAGCCAAATCTTAGATGAGAAAAAGATTCGTGAAAAACACACCAGCTTCATTCTGAGAGGCCCCCCAGTTTTCTGTCGCAGACAGTAGCGGCCAAATCAAGTTCAGGCTTTAAGAGTAACTAGCTAGTCACAAAACATGAGTGGTGTGATGTGGGAGGTTATTTTTTCAACCCATAAAACCAGAAAGTTCAGAGGAAAGCTGGGAGAGAAAAGCAGATTGCATCTGGCAGAAGGGAAATATCCAATCAAAAACTGGCAGGAGAAGAAGGAGAAAAAGAAAATGCACTTAATTTGTTCAGTTCATTACAGGGGGAAAAATGTGTGACATCTGATTCTGACTTAGAAACATTTCTGAAAACACAAGACTAAGATCCAGTTCTAATCCCTCAATTAGGACCCCTGATTATTTTAACAGAAAGAACACTAAGAATGCCTTTTTTTTTTTTTTGGTAATTTGTGAAGAGCTGGTTAAAAAAAACCAAAGATATTTAAAAGAAAAAAGAAGTCAAGACCCAAACTTCTGTAAGTGGAGAAAGAAAGTATCGCCATGTGCAGGCAGCTAGGACAGACCAATCTTTACAACGTGGTTCATTACATGGAAATAACATGCAAGTTTCTTTCTGTTCACATTTTCAGAGAATGTGGGGGGTTTCCTCATATAAACTTAGAAGAAAGTGACTACTCTTGTTCTGAAAAAACTTATTTAAAGAGCAAGTCAGATTCCTCCTCGCATTCAGAACAGCCAGCCACTAAGTAGCACCTGGTCCGTCTATGAAAGGGCCTGGGGCAGCAACACTAATGGGTATTCCAGGTAGCCCACTGGGTACATCATACTCATTTGCTGAATCTCAAGCCATTGTTAATAGGCTAGAAGAAAACCCTTTACAAAACCAGACCTGAAAACATCTTGGCATGCAACCTGAGCGTATTATGAAATTAGTGAAATAATTAGACAGAAAAAGACAAATACTGAAATACTGCATTAGCTCACTGATACATGGAATCTAAAAAAGCTGAACTCACATAAACATAGAGTAGAATGGTGGTTGCCAGGGCCTGGGGAGGGAGCAGAGAAAGGAAGAGGATGGGCAAAGGGTCCACACGTCCAAGAATAAGAAGAATAAGTTCTGGGGATCTAATACACAGCATCATAATTATAACATAATACTGAACTTGAATATTAAACTTGAAAGTTGCTATGCAGGTAGATTTTAAGTGGTGTTACCACAAAAAAGAAACTGTGATCACACGATATGATGCAGGTGTTGGGCTAAGACAGTGGTAATCACTTTGCAATATGTAAGTGTACCAAACCTACACATTGTCTACCTCAAATTTACATAATGTTATATGTCAATGACATCTCAATAAAGCTTGCTGGATGCCAGACTAGAAAAAGACAACCCGCAGAATAGGAAAAATATTTGTAAATCATATGGATGTGGCCAAAATATACATGAAAAGACGCTCACCATCCTTAGTCATCAGGGAAATGCAAATCAGAACCACAATGAGATACCATTTCATTCCCACTAGGATGGATAACATTGTTTAAACACGACAATAGCAAGTGTTGGTAAGGATATGAGAAATGGAAATGCTCAGACATTCCTAGTGGTGATGTAAAATGGTGCAGGTGCTGTGGAAAACAGTGTGGCAGTTCCTCAAAAAGTTAAATACAGAGTCACCATATGACCAGTAATTTCACTCCTACGTATATACCCAAGAGAAGGGAAAATACATACAGAAAATATGTAAAAGTGAAAATACATACACAAAAACTTAGACACAAATGTTCATAGTGGCATTATTCATAATAGCCGAAAGAGGAAAAAAACTCAAATGCTTTTCAACTCATGAGTGGATAAACAAATGTGGTTTATCCATATAGTGGAATATTATTCAGCCATAAAAAGGAATGAAGTTCTGACTCATGCTACACCGTGGATGAACTTTGAAGATGTCATGCTAAGCAAAAAAAGCCAGACATGAAACACCACATATCCTGTGATTCTATTTATGTGAAACACCCAGAATAGGCAAATCCATAGAGACAGAGAGTAGATTAGTGTTGTCAGGAGCTGGGGAAGCAAGGGAATAAGAGGTGACTTATAATGGGTAAGGGGCTTAAATGTTCTGGAATTAGACAATGGTGAATGATGTACAACTTTTGCACAAACTAAAAACCAGTGAATTGTATACTTTAAGAGAGTGAAATGTATAGTATTGTAATGAAGTTGCTTGTTTGAAGAGAAAAAACAGGACTGAATTTGGCTTTTCATTTTAGTTAGGGAATTAAACAGAGGGGAAAAAACTAGACTATCAATTTATTCTCCAAACCAAGCCTCAAAGAATACTGACATTTCGTTCAGTATTTACAGATTCCCATGAGAGAGACCAAGTGGAATTCCAGGTAACTGTGAACAAACTCACCATTTCAAGGCTGCCAAGAAGCACAATCTTTCTTCCCACCTACAGAATTAAGATAAATGTGCCAATCCATTGAAAATGAACAGATGGGAAGAGAACAGTCCAAACTCTCCACTGGTTACTACCTTTCTACTCAGCCTCTGCCCCAGGCAACTTCAGCAGAGAGGACTCTACCTGTACTCTGAGGAGCTGCTGTGGTGCCTGCCCTCACTCTTGCCATCCTAGGTCACTTCAAAGGCAATCAAAGAGACTGGAGTTTATATCCAGTTAAACCACTTACTAACTGGTGGCTCAGCATCAGTTTTCTCATTTGCAAAACAAACATCTTGAAGATTCTGAAATTGTAAGAGTCTGAGGTAGCATAGACTAGTATCTAACATGATGTCTGACTTGTGATAAATACCAATAAACATTACTTGAACACAGTATGCAGAACTTTTCTTACACACTAGAGAGACAATGTGGATTCAAGGTTTAACATGAATGCATGAGAGGCTACTCAGGAAAGTAAGAGATTTACCAGTAGCCAAACATCTGCTGTATATAGCCATTTATTACTAGTTTCCTAGTCACAAGGTTTAATAGATTCATTTGTGTCCCCCAACAGCCATCAGAAGGACCCAACCCTACCGACACCTTGATCTTGAACTTCTAGTCCCCAGAGTCATGAGCCAATTACACTTCTGTTGTTTAAGCCTCTCGTCTTCCGGACTTTGGCAGAGCAGTCCTAGAAAACCACTCCGCAGGGCTAGACTGCTTTAAATTATTTACATGATAATATGGATGCCAATTTATAAATCTGTTTTGCAATGTCCATTTAAAGTTGCATTGCCTCACCTTCATCAGACCTTCTCTTGCTGGATCAGAGGTCCTTAGTACATCTTCGGTGGCCCACCAGGACCCCTTTACGTAAACAGCCACAACTACAAAGAAAGCCAGGAGAAGATGATGTCAACCAGCCACCAGAGCGTCAGTGTTAACAATGTCAACCACTGGTATGGTGCAAAGGAAAGGTTAGGCACAGGTGAGTCAGGTGTCCCAGAGCTGAGGTTTCCTGGGAGCACTGTGACTAGGGCAGAGTGGCCACTGCCACCTAAAGGGGACTTCACAAATGTTTTCAACAGAGGGGCCCAGTGTGGATTCCAAAATAGGATGTATCCCAATGCTGTTGGATGTAAAAAGGCTACACACCAATACTGACAAATTGACAGGTACAGTTGTCTTTCCCAAGCCCAACTGCCTGCCACAACTCGGAACTCCCCAAATTTAGCCATACCCAAAATTTATCTAAGAGCACTGAGCATCTCTCCTCCCCCCCCACTGTTGCTGGGCCCCATCCCAGTCTGGACCAAGTCCCTGAGGCCTGTTGATTCTGTCCACTCCACGTCTGGACATGGGTCTTGCTTGTTAGTAAGGGTGACCTGGGAATTCCCTCAACCCTTCCAAACCCAGACTTCTCATTGGAGGCGCCCAAACTAATCAGTCTCAGTTCCAATGAAGATGGGGTGTGAAACACCCAGCAGGGCCAGGCAGTACCTGCTCAGCGACTGCTGATAATGGGTCAGCCCTCCCTGCCCTGCCCCATCCTTATGCCACAGTCCCCAAGTCCCACCAGCTCCACCTGCTGCCTTAGGACAGGATCCAGGCCCTCTTCCCCAGCCCTGGATGCCAGCTGGGTCGAGGCCACCATCATGTCTACAGATGACTATGACAGCACCTTACCCAGTCCCCTGCCTCAGTCTCCCCCACCATTCCAACCCTACTGAGTGGCCCTTCCAAAGGCAAATCTAATCACAGCCTCTACCTCTTATCTCTGAGCTACAGACCCTCCTTTCTTTGTTTAGCAATTAAATTTTCAACACCAAAGGCACTTTGGTTGTTTCCTGTTTTTTTGTTGTTTTTTTTTAATTAAGACTATTCTTTAGAGCAGCAAAATTGAATGGAAGGTACAAAGATTTCCCATGAACCCCCTGCCCTACACGTGTACAGCCACCCCCATTATCAATCACCCCTACCAGAGTGGTACCCTTGTTACAATGGATGAACCTACATTGACACCTCATAATTATCCAAAGACCACAGTTTACATCAGGGCTCATTCTCTGGTTTGAACAAATGTATAATGACATGTATAAACCAGTATGGTACCATACAGAGTATCTTCACTGCCCTAAAAACTCTCCATGCTCTGCCTAACACCCCCTTTCCCCTCCCCACTTTACCCCTGGCAACCACTGATCATTTTACTTTCTCCATAGTTTTGCCTTTTTCAGAATGTCACATAATTGGAATCATACCATATATAGCCTTTTCTGGGGGGCCTCTTTCTCTCAGTAATAGGTCCCTCCATGTCTTTTTGTAGCTAGATAGCTCAAAACTCTCTTCAGCACTGAATAATATTCCATTGTCTGGGTGTACCACCATGTATTTCTCCTCTGGCAACTTTCTTCACCCCTTTTATTGCCATTTGTAACTGCATCTCAAGCTGGGTACCTGAGCCCAAGAGGTCCAGAAGCCCCAAAACAAAAAGATGCATCCTCCCAGTCAAATCTTCTTTGCTAAAGATTTGGAGGAAAATGGGAACATGGAGTAGAAAACAAAAGCCACTTGAACATTAAGTATATGGCTCAAGACTTTAAAACATTTTGTGGGCCAGTCAGCTTAAGCTGCCTCCACCTTCTTTGAGTAACTTTCAAAAACCCTGTGGAGGCCAGGTTACAATGATGTTAGCCAGTTACTAAACATTAACTCTGCACAGCCAGCCCCTCCTCCCCAAAGACCAACAGCATCAAATCCACTGTGTCAGTTTCATATCCTCAGTGAATTATATCATCTCCAACAATAGCTCCAAAATTGACAGAGCCAACCCAGAGAAAAGGGCCAATTAAATGCTTGACATCTACCTTCATTTATGCAACAAAAATCATGTTACAAATTGCACCTTCCAGAACTTACAGGAGGTTTATAGAGTCATAAGGATTATTTTCCTGCCTTAACAAGGTGAATCAACAAAAGAAGTTCAATTTACTAATACAATGCATTACTGTAATACAGATGTTCAATTTATTAAGTAAGACAGCTTCTAACAGGAAACCTGTTCTGATTTTGAGTTCTACATGATTCACGTTCTACAGAGCACTAATTAGTCATGCAAGTTGTCACAAAACAGATTGACCTGTATTTCTCACAACTAATCTTAAGATGCTGAGTATACATAACAATAACAATGAAGTCAAATCAAATGTAACAGGTCCAAAATAAATTGTCCTCAAAACCAACTCTTGAAAAATAGAATTGGTGTGGTAGAGAACAGCAGCCTTTGATCAGAAAGGCATGATCCCTTGTCAAGAGGAAACAGAGAGAGGAATGGTGACAGAGCCCTAGAAAAGGCTGTCACCCAGCTCTGCAAGGACGAAGGATGGATCCTGGGGGTGCTGAGAGGCACTGCACAGCCAGCCTCAGGCAGCCCTTCTGAGACCACAGAGCCATCAGTTCCAAGAGTTAGGAAGTGGAAACCATGCATCTGTGGTTTTAAAAGAAAAATATGCCCCTTATCAGCGTCCTCTGGCTCTCCATCATCTAGGGTATAAGCGGAGACTGGACACCCATGGAACACTGTGCAGTGGTGGTAACAATCGGTGGGGCATGATTGGTAGAAGGCCAGCCTAGCTGCACTAATTTAATTTCCCTCTCCCCCTGAGTGACAGGTAACATGGACTACAAAGATGTCAGTAATGGATTTTATTCTGTAACACTCCGAAGTTTCCTAAACAAGTTAAGACAGTGAGGTCCCTAAAGCTAACTCTCAATGGACTGCCATCACTGAGGCTCAGCATAATCCACCCATGGTTGAATTCTCAAATGCATGAATAGCGCTGTCCTATACCCCCAGACGCTGATGAGGAACTCTCCGTCCTTGCCCATCAGAGTTGGCAGCCTGCACAGCAAGAGAGAGCTAACCCAGCTGCTCCAATACAGGGCAGGGCGTGAAAGGTGCCAGAATTGTGCTGGGAGCCAGAGTATCTTCAGGATCTGGAGGAGGGAGTCAGTTCTGCTGAGGGGTATTAGGAAAGCATCCCCAGGGATTTCGGCCAGCTTAGGCTCTGGATCACTGAGCAAGATTTCAACAGGCAGAGAGAATAGAAAAGGGGTACTGCAGGCAGGGTAACCCATGAGCAGAGGTCCAGAATCCTACCACCCACCTTAACCCCTCCCCAGAATGGGCCCTAAGAGTCCAAGGCCATACTCAGGGTACCCCAAGTGGGGGTGAGAGCAGGGCAACGACTGCAAACATCAATTACAGCAAGGTTGCAGGAACAAGGCTCACACACAAAAGCCATCACTTTACTGTATACCAGCAATGAATAAGTGGAATTTGAAATTAAAAACATAATACCATTGACATTAGCATCCCAGTAAACAAAGTACTTAGGTAGAAACCTAACAAAATATGTATAAGATCTATATGAAGAAAATTACATAACTCTGCTAAATGAAATCAAATAACTAGAGATATTTTACATTCATAGATAGGGAGACTCAAAATAGCAAGTTCTTCCCTACTTGATCTATACATTCAATGCAATCTCAATCAAAATCCCAATAAGTTATTTTGTGGATATCAACAATCTGATTCCAAAGTTTATATGGGAAGACAAAAGACTCAGAATAGCTAATACAATTATGAAGGAGAGCAAATCTGGAGAACTGACACTACCAACTTCAAGACTTATTATAAAGCTACAGTAATCAAGATAATGTGGTATTGGCAGAAGAACAGACAAACAGATCAATGGAACAGAATGGAGAGCCCAGAAACAGACCCACAAAGTATAGTCAACTGCCTTTTCACGAAGGAGCAAAGGCAATTCAATGGAACAGAGACAGTCGTTTAACAAATGGTACTGGAACAACTGGACATCCACACACACAAAAATGAATATAGACACAGACTTTTCACTCCCTCACAAATACCATCTCAACAAGACATCAGCTTCACTCACTCACCAGCCTCTAATGGATGGCAGTGCCAATGAAGAACAAGAAGACAAAGCATTTTAGATATAGCCCTATGTACCTGGCATAAAATACAGTACGGATATACAATACAATATTATTCAGCCATAGAAAAGAAAAGAAATCTAGCCATTTGCAACAGTGTGGATGGAAATAGAGGGTATTATGCTAAGTTAAATAAGCCACCTTCAAAAGACAAATACCACATGATTTCACTTACACGTGGAATCTAAAAACAAAACAAATTGAAAAGAACAAAACAGCAACAGACTAGAGACACTGAGACTGGTAGTTACCATGAGGGATGGGTGGGTTGGGTGGACAAAACAGGTGAAGGACATGAAGAGGCACAAAGTCTCATTATAATATAAATTAGTCATTGGGTGAAAGTACAGCATAGCAAATGGAGTCCATGGTGCTGTAACACCTTTCTGTGTTGACAGAGAGTAACTTATACTAGTTGGGAGTGAGGATTTAATAATGCAGGTAACTGTTGAGTCACTATGCTGCATACCTGCAATCAATGGAATACTGTATACCGAGTATACTTCAGTTAAAGAAAAAAAGTAATAGAGACTTCTGGGCCAGATGAGGTTCAAATTCTGACTCCTTCTATTACTAGTTGAATGACCTTAACCCCTCCCCAGCCATGAATTCCCCACCTGACAAATGGAGACCACAATACCTTCCCACTTGGTCATTACACAGTTAGGCCAAAGAGTTCACCTCACCAGACTGCTTTTCCTAAGATGTCTGAAGCTTCTCGGTGGTTTCCAGAAACTTCTTGCACCTGCCTTAAGTGTCGCTCTGGAATTTCAAAGAAGCATGAAAAGCCCTTTGTTATTTGTTGGTTTTGGACAGTGAAACAATGGAAACTACTTTGTAACACTCCGGTTTCTTCCTGGGA